TTTGCCATTAATCAAAACCTAACATTTTGATAACATCCAAAGCATCTTTGCCGCTAATTCTTGGTTCGAGGACGCAGACCACGTTTGGAGAATTAGCAGCTCTGTATAACTCAAAAGTAGACTTAAATTTTGGTGCTTTTCACCCCTACAGTTCCAGAAGTGAATCTTTATCATCATAAATGACAAAAACAAGGCTCTTGCTTCTCCCAATGAGTGGGAATCATTTAGAATCAATGACCATTGTCGTTGCTCCACTTTCATTCTTAGTAACTGCCTTGTTTAAAGTCTTTGAGTTAACATTTTGTTTTTCCTCTATGACCTCATCTGCTTGGCCAAAGATGATTTTTCTAAAAGAGAGGTTACCTTCCTTCTGGTAGTCATTAGCAAGTCCTTGAGTCTAGAAATCTTGGTTGGCCTTTGGTGTACATTGCTTTGCTTTACCGACTTTGATTGCCTCGTCGCGTGTCTTTTTCACTTTGGGATCACCCTTTTGCTTGGGAGAAGTCACTTGTAGCTTCTCTTGGTGTGGATCAGTGTTGGTTTCTCCATTCTTCTTCTTTTCACCACTTCCTTGTTTGGAACTCATTGGGGCTAGGGAGGAACGCGGTGCCGGAGTCATGACTTTTGTTGTTTTGGCCATAATCAGGGGAGCTTCTGGAGAGGCCTTCTAGTTCTCCTTCCTTTTTTTGTTGCTCTGCTTCTGTTTGCTTTCTTGTGGTGGCCGTTTTTGTTTAGGTTTCTCTTCAACTTTAACTTTCTTTGAGCTCTCTTTTCGTCTCTCTTTCATTTGTTGCGCTTTTGTCTTTCCTTGTGTCCTGGAAGCGGAGCTTTGTTCTCGTGGGATATTATCAGGGCTGGTTGTATATGTTGCTGCATCTTCTACTTATTCTGTAGTCTTTGTTTCCTCTGCTTCCACGTCCATCAAAGAGTCAAAGCGGGATTCACATGCCAACTCATCAATTTTTTGCTTGCCACCCCGTTTACCCTTCATGTTAGGTTGCTTCTTCGGAGGTTGCTTCCGTCGTCTGGTCCTGGTTGCAAACATCCAGGGACAAAGTCTTCGAGGATCTCCAACCGACTCTTTGGTTCTTTGCCATGTTCTTCTATTTTTTTCCTTTTGATGATCTTCCCCTGTTTTGTTTTCCACGCATGTCTCCTCTTGATATCCAAATTTTCCACATGAAACACAAACTGTGTGTAGTCCTTCGTACTCAATCTTTCTCACCCTTCTCTTGATTCTATATTTGGACAAGTTTCTTTCGTAGATCGATCTCAACACATATTCAAGCATAGTTCCCTCTCACCCCATAGGCAGTGTTGAAGTCGATCTTCTCCATTCTCCCTATCTTGCTCCCAATGTCGGTAAGGATTTGGTGATTAAAATATGCAATTGGGAGTCTTGGGAGCCTTACCCACACTGTCGTCCTGTCAATGGTATCAAGGTCTGGGTCGAAGTCAATCCTCCATGGCTTCGAGACGATGTAGTAGTCTTCCACCATCCATGGCCCTCCATAGAGACCTCTGTCGCGGTCTAGCTGCGAATCGAAGGCAGATAGGAAGTATCTGTTGCCAACATCGCTCACTTGAATACCCCCAGCGCGAGTTGAATTCTTCTCTGAACGAAGATAAACGGAAAGTATTTCCCCAAATCCGGAACGTAATCGCCCGTTGGAACTTCTGGCGGATTTTTGCATTTATACGCTTCTTGATTCTTATTATTGGGCATTTGGGATCGTCCTCTGCATCTTCTTTATCTGATTCATCTGACATGAGTTTGTCGCCTTCTGTGATTTCAATTGGCGGACCATTTCCAAGCATTCGATCCTTGTACGTGACGGGTATCCCCATCAGTGGGCTTCCCTCTCGGCTGATAGGATCAACATTGGTTCGCTCCTGTTCCATCATGGTTGCATCGTCATCGGAGCTCTCTGGCTCCGCCATCGCAGTCACTACTATGATCTCCAAATCACTTTGTCCAGCAAAACTTCCATTGGATGTTGATTTTGATTTCTTGGTTGGTTGGGCTGGTGATCCTGACGGGGGAATCAGACGGTTTCCTGTTGCGAGCGAGTGTCGCCTCCGTTGGAGGGAGGCATAGCCCTACTGGTCCAAAATTTTGAAAAACTTGGATAGAGGGCAGAAGAACTTCTTGAAATTTCTTTTTTTTTTCTTACTTATCGAAATTTCTTCTGCTGTTAAGCGAATTTTTCGCAAGGAATAAAAAAAAACTAACTTGTGCTTTTTACAATAAAATGACCAATGAACACTGTTTTCACAAGCAGTTAGATACTGTCACTTCCCTCTCACAACCCACTTTCTAGTCATTGGATACGTTCTCTCTCTCTTTTTTTTATAAGGGCGAACAAATTATATTAACAAGAAAAAAACAAGTTAAAAGGTACAAGTGCTAATACAGACTACTCTCTCTCTCTACTGTCTTTTTCAAATTGATGGTTAAAATTAAATGAAAGGTATTTTTGGAATGAAATTTTTTACCATATAGGATTACTAACCCTATTAATTTCTATATCCTCCCCCTCTCTCTAAAAACTCTAATCAGATCCTCCCCTCTCTCTGCCGCTTCTGCCCCCTACTGTCGTTGCCACCACCATCACAACCCTCTCTCGCTGTAGCCAACGAGGCTCAAGAGTTGAGAGAGGTTGCTCGAGGTCGATGGAGGAATTTCATAGCAAGGACGAGACGGGGGTGTCGCAAGAATAGGTGGGGGAGAATGTCACATGTGGCGGCTGACATGGCGAGCGATGTGGCGGGTCATGACCAGGTCAAGCACGTGTGGCGTTAAGGAAGACCTAGTAGCATAAGATGCTCCTAGGATTCCCCATCTTGAAGATGAGTTTAATGGTGCACTTAAAGAGCCACATTATGTGGTGGTATAATGGTGTGCATTATGGGGGAGACTTAATAGGGTGTATTAATGGGAGAGAGCATTATGAGAGGTATTTACACCTTGTAAGAGAGGAGGCCCTATAAAAGGAGCACCTCCTCCTCATTTGTAATCATCAATCATTTTTGTGAGCAATACAACTATAGAGTTTCTCCCATCTTCTTGTGTCTTCTTCATGTGAGTTGAGTGAGTTTGAGAGCTTGTGAGAAGGCTGCTTAGCATCTCTAACGGAATTGAAAGTTAAGGCCGCACGGTCGAGATTTAGGTACGTGACAGTTGCTAACAGAGCCTGGTTCTGAAGAGAAGAACCAGTGTCCTCACTCCCCAAGAAGGAATAAGAGAAGAAAGAGCAAGAGTATCACCAAAGATGACTAGACCAGAAGTACATGATGATGTTGAGAAGGAGAAGCAACGTGGAAGAGATTCCACGAATAACTCCAGGCCAAAGAACGCGTCCAAAAACCTGTACAGCTGCCCAGTTTGATGATGTCGCGCACTCCTTCAGTACCAAACGACTAAAATGTCATTCCTTAAATACCATTTAGAATATTACTGAAAATTCTGTATACGGCTTGTTCTGAAAAAGAACCTCCTTGTATAAGTGGTCGGAGGTTATACGATAGTTGATTCGGGCCTAATTGTACACTTTTTTATCCCCAGTTCTCTTTGACGTTTGTGGAAATTGTGCTCCAAAGGGGTGGTTTTACGCTAGGCTTCTTGCATTTCAATGTGTTTCAGAGTCTAATAGGTGAAACCAACCCCTCAATCGAAAGTTGGAAGAAAAGGAGCAAAGACCGGGCAAAGAGGAAGATTCAGTTGATGTTCACGGTCCAACATTGGAGTTCACGGTCGTCAGGACCATGAACTGGAACCAAAAACTGTCAACCGTGATACATCAAAGGGGTTTTTGAGGTTACTGACGCCAAGGCAGTTCACGGTCGCTAAGACCGTGAACTGGAACCACAAACCATGAATCCCAGAAGTAAAGCGGTGAGTTTTAGTCCACTTCACTGAGTTGAAGGACGCGTTCTGATTTTCACGACCGTGAACTGGGCATGATCTCAGTATAAAGAGTGGGCTGAAAGGAAGAAGAGGGTGAGCCCAAAGTGAGAGAAAGACTATTCTTCTTGAAACCCTAGAGGGATAAAGCACGAACCAAGAGGAGAAGAGGCTTGGGTTTTGCTCCAAGTGAAGATTTTGGAAGTTCCTCTTCAAGAGAGGATCTCTATAATTAAGCACAAGGAGAGTTGGAGGCATCACAATGATGGTTCCTTTCTTCCTCTTTTGTTTTCTTCCTTTGTCTAACATGGAGTAGTTTACCTTTTCACTTGGGTGTTGTAGAACCCTAACTACTATCATGTAATTGATTGTGTGGATTGAATGATTGTGTGACGGTGGTGTTTAATTTAAGAATTGATGTATTTTTCATGTTTATTGTGCAATGTGTGTGCTTGGCAATCTATTGTGCTATTCTAACCTAGATTAGAGCGAAGCCCCCTTATCTTAAGAGGCTCAAAATTGAGCTGGATTTTCTTAGGCATTCCATGCCTCCTAACTAGGTTAAAGAAGGGCAAACCTCTACTTGGATTAGACACCTAGGTTAATTGTGATTATGCTGTCCAAGCTTTGGGTTGAGGGAGAAGGTAAGTCAACTCTCAATTGCTTGTGCCAAGAGGGCTACAATTGAAGCCTTGAATGCTTACGTTGGCCTAGCAATTGAGAGGATGGTTTCTAACCAATGTTGCACCTCCTATGGGTCACAATTGCCTTGTCACACACTGGTTCATTCGATCCCACGGTTCATATTAGTTAGTTAGCGGGAAACAACACCCGAGTGAAGCTTCTCACCAAGAGTTTTCCACCATTTTACTTTTCAAAGTATTGCTTTTAAATTGTAGATTGTAGATATTTCAACAAACAACAATCTGCTAGATAATGTTTCAAACAATCGAAGTAGCGGTTCATGGGCCGACTCGGCTTGACATTTAAACATAATTACCCTATATTACACCATCTAAAATTTATATTTGAATCTTATGTGGAATTTTATTTTGATAGTAGGAGAGAGTCAATAGCACAATCCGTGAAACACAAAATCACATGCAATTTATTATTCCATACATGCACCTAGCCCGATCGATCAGCTTCCATTAGTTTTATCTAGGGTAGAGGACAACCCGGCATATCCGCGAGGCACGGCCTAGCGGTTGAGTATTCCACAGCACAATCCTCAAGTTCGAGCCGACCTCGGTGACGCCGGGGCACTCGACGTCGACCACCCGGAACTGAGCGTTGTACAGACACAGCTTGCAGTCCTCGCCGGAGCTGGAACTGGGGTAGCATCTAGCATAGCCGGCGAGCGGCCCGTCCTGCCCATAGTCACACGCGTGAAACCCTTTCCCGGGCGATACGAGAGCAATCGCAGCATCCATGACGGCCAGCGCGTTGGTCCTCGCTTGGCCGCTGGCGTCGGACGTGGAGCCGCAGCATTTGAAGTGAAAGGACGTGTCGGGATCGCCTTTGACGACGACGAGGGTGTTGTGGTCGTTAAAGATCATCAGCACCAACACTGCGGCTATGACGAAGGTGGTGGTCATGATGAATGAACTAGGCCTATTAGTTATGGTGAGTATTGTGGAGTAGTGTTAGTTATTGGATTCTGACATTTGATAATCTATGCCAGAACTAATTAAGAACTGAAAGAGAGAACAATCCGATTTACGTGGTATTCCTGGAATTCCAGGACTAATCCACGGAAGAGTGTAAACCCTTAAGACTACTGATCTTATTATTGTGTTCTGTATCCCTAAACGTCATAAAGCTGCCGCTATATATACAAAGAAAAGGAAAACTTGGCCGAACCCTAGATTAGACCTCCAACGTCGGTTCATCATGCATGGATTACATGGGCCTATCAAAGACTAAGGCTACGTACTGGGCTATACATTATGGGCTGTACATGGGCAATTAATTGACCGACTAACAGCCTCCCCAAAATTGATGCGGATCACATAGCATCAATTTGCTAGACAGATACCAGTGTCGGGACGAGGAGAAAGTCTTCATCAGAAGATCGGCAACCTGGTCTTCAGTACGAAGATAATGAACAGTAATAGTTCCATCACGAACTAAGTCCCGAACATAGTGCACATGGATTTCGATGTGCTTAGTGCGATCATGGAGTACCGGATTCACTGCAATGCAAATAGCACTCGTGTTGTCCACAAAGAGCTCCATCGGAATCAGACAATCCATGCCTAAATCACCCAGTAAACGGCGCAGCCAAACAAGTTCAGAGACAACATCAGACATCGAGCGATACTCAGCTTCAGTCAAAGATTTGGAAACTTTATCTTGTTTCTTGCAGCGCCAAGAGATAAAAGCATCACCAAACTGTACACACCAGCCTGAAGTGGAGCGACGTGTATCAATACAGCCAGCAAAGTCAGAATCGGAGTAGGCACGAAGAGTCAATGAACCAGTCGATGGAAAAAGAATACCGACATCCTGTGTGCCTCGCAGGCAACGCAGTATACGATGAACAGCGGCTAGATGATCAGTGCACGGAGAAGCCATGAATTGACTTACTAACTGAACTGCATAAGAAATATCAGGTCGGGTAGCAGCCAGATAGATAAGACTGCCGACGATACTACGATAGGTAGCACCATCAGGAAGGGGAGAACCAGAAGTGCGACCAAGTTTCAAATTGAGCTCCATCGGCGTGGACACTGGGCGACAATCCTTGAAATGATGATCACTAAGAAGGTCCTGTATATACTTCCTTTGACTAAGAAGGATCCCGCGAGAAGTACGAGAAACTTCGAGCCCAAGAAAGTATGAAAGCTCGCCCAGATCTTAAGATTGAAAGAAGCATGTAGACCTTCTTTAAGTGCCTGAATCCCAGCAAGATCAGTACTAGTAATCACCATATCATCAACATACAACAAAAGAGCGACAATCCCAGCTGGTGAAGTCTTAGTGAAAAGAGATGGATCATTGAGACTTTGGGTGAACCCAAGACTGGAGATGGTGGAATGAAACTTCTCAAACTAGGCACGGGGAGCCTATTTGAGACCATAAAGCGATCGGTTGAGACGACAAACCTGATCAAGAGATGCCAAAGAATACCCTGGTGGCGGTTCCATGTAGATCACTTCCTCCAAATCACCATGGAGGAATGCATTCTTGACATCCATCTGGTACAAAGGCCACTGTTGATGCGCCGCCACAGCTAACAAAGTACGAACTGTTGACATCTTAGCCACCGGTGCAAAAGTCTCAGTGTAATCAACGCCAAACTCTTGAGAAAACCCCTGTGCCACTAAGCGAGCCTTATAACGGTCAACTGTCCCATCGGGATTCATCTTGACAGTATAGACCCACCGGCAACCAACAACTGATCCGGACTTGGGGCGAGGTACTAACGTCCAAGTATAATTCTCGTGTAAAGCTGCCAACTCACGGTTCATTGCTTGTTCCCACAAAGGATTGCCCTTGGCCTGTTTGTATCGGGTTGGAACAACAATAGAGTCTACCCCGTGAGCAATAAAATCATTAAACTTGAGTGGTGGGATACCTTGAGTGGTGCGCTGTGATCGACGTGCCTGTAAGGCAGGTGGAGTATCGGGAGAAGTCGAGCTCTCAATGGGAATGGAAGAGGCGGAGCTGGTCGCTGTGGAGGGAGGAGACCCCGAGGTAGGAGTGGAGTGATGTGAAGCCGGTGATGAATATGTGGGCTTGGGAGACAGATCGGGGACATGGGGAGTAACCGGATCATCAGGAGGTGTGTGATCAGTGACATCATCACAATCCCCAAAGAAAGGCAACGACACTGGAGTGGTGTGAAAAAAGGATGGAGAGGGATCAGAGTCATAGAACATGAGATGTTCAAAGAAAACAACTGTGCAAGCTATGCGCATATGTTGTAACTTAGGGTCATAACACAAATAACCCTTATGAACATCACTATATCCTAGAAAAACACACCGAGCAGTTTTAGATGATTGTTTGGTACGTTCACGTTTAGGAAGAAGGACAAAACATTGACAACCAAAGACCCGAAGACGAGAATAATCGGGATGACGACCATACAAAGCAAAGAAGGGACTGACATTTTTTAGAACAAGAGTGACTTGATAATTAATGAGACGAACTGCAGTAGCAACAGCTTCGGGCCAAAAACGACTAGGAACACACGAAGCAAGAAGGAGAGCACGAGTAAGGTCCATAACATAACGGTTTTTCCGTTCAACTAGGCCATTTTGCTGAGAAACACCAGGACAAGACATTTGACTCAACATACCGAGGGAACGATAGACATCATGCAAAGGAAAAGAACTGAACTCTCCGCCAGGATCAGACCGAACAATCTTAACAGGACGACCAAACTGTGTCTGAATCATTTTGAAAAATTCAATGGCTACAGCTTTAAGATCAGATTGAGCCGAAGAAAATAAATCCATGTGAAGCGAGTTGCATGATCAATAAAGAGAGCAAAATAACGATAGCCATGGCGAGATGTCACAGGAGATGGACCCCAAAGATCAGTATGAATAATGTGAAAAAGCTCAGTAATGACAGTAGTACTAGTGGGAAATGAAATGCTAATCGTTTTGGCCTCGACACAACTCGTACAAGAATGCTTTGCAGAAATAGTAACATTATTTTTGCCAAGCAAAGATTGTTTAAACATCTTTACAAGCCGATTAGAGTGAGGATGTCCTAATCGAGAGTGCCAAAGATTCCAAATATTATCCGATTGACTAGAAAAACTAACAGGCAAAGACGGGTTACGAGAAGTAGATAAACAAGACTGAAATGGACTACTGACAGACCAATCACAAGAACTACTAGCGGATAAAGCAGGATCATAAAGCTCTTCCAGGTGAAAAATCCTTCCCCGTTTATTCCCCTTTCCGATCTGTCTCCCCGTCATCAAATCCTGTATGGAGCACCCAGACAGTGTAAACAAAACAGAGCACCCTTGTTCAGTAAGCTGTCCCACAGAAACCAAGTTAGGAACTAGTTTGGGAACATGAAGTGTATGTGGCAATGTCACCATAAACTGATCGACCTTACCAATCCCTTTCACCTGTAACTCATTCCCATTCGCCACTCGTAATGACATATTTGTAACCGGCACCACATCTTTAAGATTATTCATATCACATGTCATATGATTAAAACAAGAAGAATCGAGAAGCCAAGGGTTCGTGTTACCTGAACCTTGGAGAGTGGCAAATGCGGCACTGATAGCCGTCGGAAGAGATTTTTGCAACGCGGCGTTCACTAATTGCTCCACCGTTGCAGCTGTAATTGCTGAACTATTACTGCCTTCGTTGGACGTGATTACTGCATGGGCAGGACGTCCTTGAGCTGCATGAGCTGGACGTGGGTAATTATAGCGAGGACGGTCACCCCCGGTAGCATTATGTGAGACCCAGCGATCTCCTCCAGAGCGGGTACCCCCAGCTGCATTTTGAGAGACCCAGCGATCTCCCCCAACCAATGAATTAGAGGCCCCAGCTCCATTATCTCCATAGCGAGACTCATTTCTTTGACGAGAGCGGCAATCTAACACAATGTGGCCTCCCCTTTTACAATACACACAATAATTGCGGCAATCTAACACAATCTCACGGCAGTAGTGGCATTCCATCTCAGCAATAGGGACTCGACTTTGAAACTGAGGCCGGCCTGTGGCATAGGCAGCCGAGTCAGCCGCAGTAGTGGCCAAAATAACCTCCCCTTCTCCCGGGCGGACATCAAATTGCGCCTGTGTGCGGAGGCGAATCTCCTCACGTACTAGTTGGGCAAGAACCCCATCAAATTTCAAGTCATCTTTGTTGAGCAAGGTTGAGCGCACCAACTCGAACTCCGGACGGAGACGCATAAGAAACTGTAAAAGCCGAGTTTGCTGTCGCTCCAAAAGCATGTCTTCTGTTACATCCACGTTGGGTCGGAGAGCCGCACTCAATAAATCCTGTTCTGTCCAAAGCTCTTGAGCACGATTGTAGTACTCATTCACGGTGAGATCTCCTTGTGCGTATTGCGGATTGTGTCCGCTTCGCTCACGTCATCAAACCGGATCAGCCGCAAGTCTTGGACCCGGTTCCCTTTTCTCTCGTCTCAATCCTAGGGAATTAGGGTTAGTGTCATTAAGTCATATATAAAGGCATTTTACTTGTTGATGGCCGATTATCACATGTACCGAAAATCATCAATGAAAACATCGAGAGCTCTGTTTCAAGAGAAAAACCCAGACTGCTCGACTAAAGTCGTCAACAATAGTAAGGAAATAGCGAGCTCAAGAAAAAGAAGCCTCATGATAACCGCCCCAAATATCAATGTGAATCAGCTCGAAACAATCTTTAGTATGAATAGTACTGGGATCAAAAGGAAGCCGAACTTGTTTAGCCCGTAAACAAGAATCACACGGGTCTTTATTGATAATTAAAGGACTAGAGATATAAGGTTGGAGAGCCAACAACTTTGCCCCAGATGGGTGACCGAGCCGCAAATGCCAGAGTCTGGTACCGATGCCTGTCCGCTGCGCCGCAAGAGCTACCGAATGACTGTCATCAAAGACCTTGAGGTGATATAGGCCATCAACATGTGTCCCC